TGAGGGGATCGGGAGTATCAGGCGGGGAGTGTCCCAGCATCTTGCTGTCTGGGCAGGGCAGGGGCCAGCTTCCACATACCACGCGGCTGGAGTTATGAGTGCTAGTGGCCATAGGGCAGCTGGGTGGGGGGACGTGGCTCAGGAGCCGGGAGCCTGATGGGCGCGAGGCACTGCGATGGCTCCCACGTCTGGGGCCGAACCAAAACTACAGGTCTTTTATCCACAACCACGCACAGGCGCCCCAGTGGAGCGCACAGCCCCCTGTGCGGGACTCACCGTTCTTCTCCACAGGCACGTGGCAGCGTGGGCAGGGCTTGGTGGTCTTCTTGATGGTCTCCCGGGAGGACTCCTCCCAGCGAGCCTGCTCGGCCGCCCTGGCGTCCACCCGGTAGGCCTGCGGGAGGAGACGGAGTGAGTGAGTACAGTCTGCAGAGGGCGCTGCGGCCTCCCTCCAGGAGCACTGGGAGGGCCCCAGGGAGCACTGGGACTGGGATGGAGGTTCTTAGAGATGGAGGCGCCCTCAGGCAAGAAGCCCAAATGTAAACGCCCCCAAGAGCGGTGACGGGGTGGGTCACGGAAGGCGGGCCTGGGCACGGGGCCTGTGCTGCGGGCTGAGGAGGGATTCTGTCAGCGTCGAGCCCGCCTCCCTGAGGTCTTGCCCGCGTCCTTCATGAGCGTCCCCGACATGAATGTAAAGTCTTTCTGGAGGGACCGCAAGTGATGGGCGGGCGCCCGTGGCTTCGGGGCCACCTAGCAACGTAACCAACAGAAACAACAGGGGGTGGGGTGGGTGGGGCCCAGAGATGTGAATTCTGAACAGCCTCGTGGGGGTGGCGCGGCACCGGGAGTGTGGGGGACCCTTCCGCTTGCGCCTGAGGGGGGACATGGTTAGTTGGGTGTTTGTCATGGCTTCAGTCACCCAGCCACGGGGCAAGGACTTGCTCTTGTGTGTCTGGGAGGTGGGGGCTTCATGCGACTCAGCATGATGGGCCCCGTGCGGTTCTGCGGCTCCTGCAGGGCGTAGGTGCGAAGTGGGCGGATGGTGCAGAGCGCTGCTCCCCCGAGCGTGGGAGGAAGGCCTATGAGGGCAGGGCAGGGGCGGGCAGGTCTCTCCTCCGTACTTGATGGCTAAACACAGCAATTTGGTAATTTCCTATCTGTCTTCAAGGCTGCTCCGCAAGGTCACGTGTGGGCATGATGGCCCAAGACGCGACCTTGGTGCTTGCCTACAGGGTGGTAGTTGTCCCGTGACCTTTGGGGGTGTCTGAGCACGGGGGGTGGTTCAGAGCAGGACGTGGTGCCATCCCGCCTGGGTTCAAACCCTGCTCCGCTCTTCGCTTGCCGTGTAACCATGGACACGGCCTAAGCGCGGCCTCTGCTCACCGGTCCGTGTGATGCGCATAGTAGGGCCTCACAGGTAAGCGTTAAGAGTGAGCTGAGCGTGCAAAGAGCTTAGCACAGCGTCCGACGCGCCCTGAATGGGACGCTGGCATTTCCCATGATCATAACCATTACCCATTTCCCATCATCATCAGCATCACCATCGTCGTTCCCCAGGAGACGGCCTGGGGGTCTGCACTGGAAAGACCACGGAGAGGCTGGACAGGCCTTCACTCTGTTTTAAAACGTGCAGGTGCCCGCCTGCCCCCGAGAGGTTTTTAAATCTGTGCCGAGGAGACGCTGCTGACACACACGTAAGTTAGAGCAGCCACAGAGACTTCGCACGCGCGTCCCTTCCCCGCTGCGACATCGGTTTAGTCAGTAATCGGACAAGTGTCTCTTAATTCCCAAAGTCAGTTAACATCCATTTTCCAAAAAGGACCAGGTTGCCGTTCACCCCACAGAGGCCTCATTCCGGTGTGAGTGCTCCAGGGGAGTCCCCGCTCTGAAGGTGGCCTTCCCCACCCACGCCCACGCCCAGACAACACTCACTTGCCCCCAGTTCCTGCAGAACAGCCTCCCGGCTTCCCAGCCACAGCCTGTGAGCAGCCCGCCCCCTGCTGGCGAGCCGGGCCACTGCCTCACCTCTCAGGCACAAGGCCGTCAACAAAGCTGGCTTTGTTAGTCACACACACACACACAACACACACACACACACACACACACACACACACACACACCTGTCTAGCTAGGGAGAGCGAGAAAGCTATCAGAGCGCAGGGAAGTGACGGAGCGCCTGCAAGGCTGGGCGGGCAGCTGGGCGGCGCGCTCTTTGGTAGTTCCAGCCTCCCGGCCACGCTTTGGAAGGGTCTGGAAGGACAGTTTTCATGATGACACTACAGCGGGGATTTCTGTTATTAGTGCAGGGCATGCCGGCCACCACTGCGGGGTTAGAGCTCCTTAATGCTTCACAGGGGAGAGGGAAGGGCATAATGCCCATTTGCCCACTTTGAGGTTGGTGGCGACAGGGAACCCCACAGATGCATTAAGCAGGATGACTCCCTGGTCGGGTGGCTCAGCTGGCTGGAGCGTTGTCCCATGCAGTTCTGATCAGGGCACATACCCAGGTTGCAGGTTTGATCTCTGGTCAGGGCACACATAGGAGGCAACTGGTCAATGTTTCTCTCTCTCCCCTTTCTCTCTCTTAAAAATCAATAAAAAACATATCCTTGGGTGAGAATTAAAAAAAAAAAAAAAGAAACAAGGTTGTTAATGTATCATTTGTCGGGAATTTTAAAATGCTTCGTGTTCAACTACTGCTACAAATCGATGGACAGGGAAGTCTGCCTTAAGCAAGGAAGGAATATAAGCAAGCGGGTGTTTCTGGTCACAGGGATCTCTGGCTCGCGGCTCGCTCAGGGCGGTAATCACCAGCACTAATACAGGAGGGACGCACGAGAACCATGCACGTGAACCCAGGCCAACAAGTTAAGTCGGGCGCCTGCTGTGGGCTGCCTGACACGGGACTCGGCTGGTCAGGGAGGCAGGCCGACCACAGGGAAATGCGGGCAAAGAAAATTCCTGCACAGAGTGAGGGACAGCCTCTCCCACCCCTGGCGCTCACCCTCACCAGGAAGGGAAACTCAAGGCCGAGGAGAGACCAGCGTTTCCCTCTCTGTCCCCACCCCAGGACCCTCCACAGCAACCACGAGCAGATACATAAGCTCAGGCTCTGGAGACGGTTGGGTCTCCCTTCCCTGGTGAGGGAGTAGCTGCTCCGCCCGTGGAGCAGCCACGCCGTCTCGCTGCTTCCCCATAAGCTCTCTTTCACCTTGAACTCCATGCTGGCTTGCATCTGAGCTCTTCCCTGGGTGAAGCCAAGACCACAGTGGGTGCCGGACCTCCAGGTCCCGGAACCCCCAGATGCCTGCCTCAAACTGACCACAGACAGGACTCGGCGTTGGGAGCGCCGCTGCGGTCAAGAGGAGCCAGAGCAGAGGACACAGCTCGGCCTTTGTGCAGAGCGAGCGCTTCGGGGACAGAGCAGGCCCTTGTCTCCTGCGGGAACTGGTACAGGGACCCATTCATCCAGCCGCCGCGCTGGGAGCGGGTGGCGCCCCGGCACCACGCTGCGCACGAGGGACACGTCGGGAAACAACAGGTGACAGATGCACGCCAACAAGGCCCGCGCCTGCGGTGCTGCCATGGTGACAGGCAGTGCCCTCCACCTGGCGGGGGCATCGCCCGCGGACCTGGCCGGGCACAGGCTGCTGCAGCCCCCACACCCCCCAGGGTCACACCAGTGCGTCTGGGTGGGGCCCAGGAATGTCCGGGTGACACGCGTGCAGCTAGCCTGTGGGGGACCCTGTGAGAGGCCCTGCCTGCGGGAGGTCTGTGAGCTGTGGGCACAGGTAGGAGGGCTGTGTGCCCTCTCCCACACTGCCAGTCCTAGCCTGAGGTGCCCTGTGGGCATGGGGTGGGCGAGTTGGGACGCGGGTGAGAGAGGACACAGAGCCTTGCTCTGCTCACTGTGAACGCCAGGCCCCGAGTGAGACGGACTCAGGCATCACCTCATTAAATCCTTCTCACGTCACAAACTCCTGTTGCAGATGAGGTGAGCGTGGCTCATAGTGACTCTCACAGCGCCTGTGCCTGTCAGGGCTCTCGGAGGGAGAGCGGGCAGGACAGACATGGCACATAGAAGACACATGGGTTTATAGAAGGAACCGCTCACGGGGCTGTGGAAGCTGTGAGTTCCACGTCTGCAAGGCAGGCCCGCAGGCTGGGCCGCGGCCGTCTCCGTGACACCCTTGAGGCGGAATCCCATCTTACCTGGGGACCCTTGGTCTTTGCTCTCAAGGCCTCCACCTGCTCGGGTGAGGCCCACCCCATTGTGAGCAACCCCCTTAACGTAAAGCCAACCGACGGCAACCACACCTTCCACACCTTCCAGCAGCACCCGGACCCCGGTTTGCCGACAGCCGAGCACCGCGGCCTCGCCAGGTGTACGCGAAGGGGACCCTTGCAGCCAGCCAGGCCCAACTCATTCTCAAGACCAGGCCCGCTGGGCTCCCAACCATGTGCCTGGCCTCGGATTCCTCCAGGCCACGGCGGGCGGAGGAGACATGCACAGCTGGTCCTGCTGACGGCATGAGGCGAACGTGGAGACCAGCGTGGTCAGTGTGAGCGCCGTGCTTCGTGGGAAAGGGGGTGCGTGGACAGAGCGGGAACCAGCTCCCCACGGAGTCTACACGCCCCTGCAGACGACAGCATGCCTGTCCCGCCCCCGTTTTCATCACTGAGGGGCTGGAGGGGTTCCAGCAGCCGGGACCCAGCCCGTCTTTGCCCAGAAACGCTTCCGTGGAAACAGTCCTGCTGTTTGAAAATAGCAAACACTCCTTTCCCTGTCATTTCGCTTTGGGCCACCATTTCTTGCAAAATATTCCATTCATCTCCCTTAGGGAGGCAGCGCCACCTGGTGGAGGAGAGGCGCTCAGCAGGTGCTTCCCCTCCTGCACTGAGGATGCAGAGAACTGCAGGCGGCCTCCCCCTCCAGAGATCAGTCTCAGGGTGAGAGAGTGTGTGTGCGTGTGCGCGCGCATGTGGTGAGAGTTATGTAGTGTGTATGTATGTTATGTACATAGTTTGTGTGTTTTGTGTATTGGTGTGTGTGTATGTGGTGTACATAGTATGTGTGTTTTATGTATTGGTGTGTATGTGTGTAGTGTGTGTGCATGTGGTGAGAGTTATGTAGTGTGTTTCGTTTATGTGGTGTGTGTGAGATAACTGTGTGTGGTGAGTGTGTGCATGTGGTGAGAGTTATATAGTGTGTGCGTGTGGCATACATAGTGTGTATTGGTGGTGTGTGTGTGTGTAGTATGTGTGTGTGCGCGTGTGGTGTACATAGAATGTGTGTTTTGTGTATTGGTGTGGGAATATGTGTGTAGTATGCGGTGTACATAGTATGTGTGTTTTATGTATTGGCGTGTGTGTAGTATGTGTGCATGTGGTGTGTATGGTGAGATTTATGTAGTGTGTGTGTATGTGGTGTACATAGTATGTGTGTATTGGTATGTGTAGTATATAGTATGTGTGTTTTGTGTATTGGTTTGTGGGATGTATGTGTGGTGTGTGTGGTGTGTGTATGTGGTGTATGTGGTGAGAGGTATGTAGTGTGGGTGTGTATGTGGTGTATATACTATGTGTGTATCAGTGTGTGAGTGTATGTGGTGTATATAGTATGTGTGTATCAGTGTGTGAGTGTATGTGGTGTATATAGTATGTGTG